CTTGAAGTTATGGTCAGCTCAAGTAGATACTGTATATAAAAAAGAAACTGTAATCACCCCACCAAAATGCTTCATAGTGAAACAATAATCAGCTTATATAGATCTAACTGTCATGAAAATTACTAGCAACTACGTTACTATGAAGTTTTATAGTCTAATTGAAACTATTATATCAGCTCTAACTGTCAATAAAACTGACACTATAGTAATGTAATCAACGAAAATAATATTATTGACATAGATCTAATGATCATAAACAGCCTACCTGTTCTGAAACTGCTAAAATGATGAAGTTCTTATCAAAAACTTAAATAGAGCTAATAAAAATTCCCTCCTGATGCATAGATATCATTCTTTCAGACAGATCAGTCAAGTTTCAATAGAGATCCGCGAGCGTTCCGCGTTGATCCGCATTTCAGCCCGATCCGCATTTGATCCGCGTGGATCCGTATTTCAGGGTAGGGTCTCAAAAGCGGACGGACGGACGGACCCGAAAGGGACGGACGGACCCGAACAGGACGGACGGACGGACGGACGGGGTAGGGTCTCAAAAGCGGACGGACGGACGGACCCGAACAGGACGGAAGGATGCGGACCCCATAAGGACCATCATCATGGATAATAGTCTATCTACAAGACAAGGCTACACTTGTACAATAGATGTATGCATGCATTAAGTTTTAACATGAGAGATCAGCTGTATGGGCTGTAACTTCATTAATGCAAATGAGACATCACCCACTCAGCAATCGCTTGATTCTGATTCATTGATATTTATAATAGGGGCTTAGTCAGTGATACCATTCTAATGATTTTGCTATTCAGAGCAAGTCTAATAATAATTTCATAAATAATTTTTATGCTCTATATACATTCATAAATAACACTAAATACTTTAATTTTTAATAGTTTAAAATTATAATCAAAGTTCAATATCCTTAAATGATTGGTCTTTAAATATAAGAAAAGCCTTTGAAATAGATATGTTGAATCTCTTGGCCATTAGATAAGTTAGAATCTATTAATGAAAAAATTATTATCTATGTAATGAATATGAAAGTTATACAATTACTTCGGGTATAATTATTCTTGTCATAATCGGGCTTGGAATTGCCACACTTCTCTTTTCAATGTCGCTTTGCAATGCTTGTAAATAATACAATATTTCCAATCCCTATGATTGAAATAGTAATTGAAGGCCTCACTAAATCATTTACCATATCATAATAATCAAGGGGCCAGAAGTTTGTCCTTCCAATGTCATGCTTCTTTATAAAACTGGCCTCTTTCCAAAAAATGCTGCTTTCCGGCTCTTGATATATATTCCTTAATTTGTCCTAACGAAATTAGAACATAAAGATCCAAAGTGTTTTCACAGTTATATACCTCAAATAACTTCACATTTTCTCGAATAAACGCACGCTCAAACAAAATATTCGTCCTACATTGATAACAGAAACATCTATTCAGTCAATTCCAAAAGAATTTGTCAGTTTGTTACCCTTGTGGTCTTGCCAATTTTGGGTAGTATTTCACACAAGTGTCATATTCGTATGGCATTTCAGTTAAATCTTCAGGATTGTCACAACCATTTTGAAATGTCGGGATCAGAAGTTTTTCACTTTCAATGCTTTCCAATGATTCAGTGAATTGCACTATAAGGGCAAGTGTTCACTTGATGTCATTCACTCACTATTTTTATCACCAAGAAAACATAAGTCTTGGCATGACTCACAATTATCCAGATTATCATCATCATTATCTGTATCTTCAATGTCGCTGGCCTCTGGTGAACAATGCTCCTCCTCTGTACTTGTAATGTGCTCCAGCTATCATGAATAAAGTCATGTTAAACATGCATACAAACGTTAAAATGATGCATACATTTGTCAAGTATCCATTTTCAATGATATCTCGCTCTGCACTGAGCAGCTCTGATTGCCTAACTCGAATATGTATTGTCTTGCATCTGTCAATTATCAAAGAAAAATGATATTTCATCTCAATGACAAATTTTACCTGAAACTATGAAGCATAAGATTTATGAGCCACTGCCTCAGAGATTTTGAAGTTGTCTAATAAAACAATTCTATGACAGTGCACAACTATTACAATACTATAGGATATACTTGGGCAACATAGATAATCATGTCAACACACTCCATCGCAACGCAGTAGGCAAACTAAAAGTCAATTAATTTTAAAAAATTACAACTCACATAATTATGCATTATTATCTTACTCTGCACAAATAGGCACCACAGTCTATGGAATTGTTTTGTTTGGGTACAAGCTTTGGTAATAATAAACTAAAATAATATGCAAATTTTTACATACCACTTCAGTATGTTTGTAGTCTGAAAAGTTAAACTTCTCTGTGTTTGCCTCTACCTTTTTCTTCAAATACATTGACAACACACTATTCAATTTGAACAAATAAACATTAATTTAAATGAAATTGTGATTCATACTCCAGTGCTTGTTTTGTCAAAGAAAAATACCCTCCAATAGAATCAAACGAAAAAATTGACTGATCATACAGCTTAATAACCTATAATATAAATTTTTTAATATTGTGGACATTTAAGTTTAAAAAGAACTTACAATTAATATCCAATGGCTTCTGACATGGCATGGTATTACAAT